TACCTACCCGTGCGAACTCACAAGAGGTCCTACCACCAGTAAAGCGTAAAGTTGGTATAGTGTTGATACTTTCAATAGTAAAATTTTGGACAAGTTAAGCTGGAACAATATAACTTTTGGATTGTTTTTGTTTTTGGTTAAAGCAAAAATGTTTCAGATTTTTATTCCCAAACATTATTTCTCATTACAATTTGTTGCGTATCGATTATGTAAATTTATATTGTAAGAGTGGCAGAAGGACATATTGCTAGTAGAACAGACGGCCACTGGGGTCAAAAAGTTCTCGAGTAGTGATCACGTATACTGGGTGTCGTAGCGTGGGTAAGCTTCTCACAAGGTGGATCGACAACTTTGCTAACGATTCAAGGAAACCGCTGGTTATTAAAGAACCGGTTATTGTAACGAGGCATGGGGAAGGCATATGTCCAACAGTGGGCGTCAGTAGACTAAGAGAGAGAGAGAGAGATAAACTCAAAATACGCTCTGTTCCGAGTAATTGATGGAAAACCGATACTCAGCCTGTTCATCCACCTCCAGCTCCTGTAGTTTGAGAATTTAGTAACAGAGTAGGAACCCATAACGTATCTAAGATTAATCATGAAATTTAGGCATTTTCTTTCATTATTATTTTTTTCCTACCTAAGCTGATAGCCTTGAGAGGCTATTTCAGCATAACCTTAACTAGTAGATGAGCTCATGGGGCTCAAACCTGACAACGTTGCGAACACGAACCCTAGCAAGAGCCGTGCTTCGTAGAAGCTACCACCGTATCGGAAACGCGACCCACTAAGAAGATCCGGCGAGAAACTCAGTGGGCTGTGTATGTGGGTTAGTTTACTCGTCGAGCCCCTCATCGCAAGCGACGGGTTCGACGAGAACGATGACCGGTTTCTTTCTCAGTTATCAGTTCTAAGCTACCACAATTTTTATTAGAATTTAAATAGTATTTTTTTCGTTACATTTCACGAAAACATCATAATCGGCTTCAAGTTTAGTTGAAAAGCAGGTGAAAATGACACTTTCGCTTTTACCGAAAGCGGTAATCCGCGGGTAAATCTGACATTAAGCCTTTCACATTTTTTTTATTTCTAAGTAATCTTTAAATAACGGTTTATTAATTCAATAACTATATATTTTTTTATTCATACTTGGCTGTTTGAGTAAGATTTGAAACGAGAGAATGTGGTACAATTTTCAAAGCGCATTTGTGTATAAATTATTCATCTAACTTTTAATTTACTTTGAAATTTGTTCATATTGGACATTGCATTATTCACAGTTAGCTATTTATTTTGATTGCTTGGTTGATATAAAATGTGATTTAGCTTTTATTATTTATTTATAACTTTATATACTTGACAGTATATATTCACTATAATTGAATTGAAGTCAACGTGTTATTGTCTGTATTTGTTTGTTTGAAGGATCAAAAGGTATAGAGCATTATATAAATAAGCCTCTTTTTAGAAGTAATTGAAATGGCAAGGAATCGTTCTAGAAATGTAAGCTTTAATAATGTATCTAGTCTAGTCATCTATTAACTTCCGTTGCTTTGAGTTCTGTCTTTAACGGCGGTTTTTAATTTTGTTTTTCTTCCGTAGACCGGTAGACGCCCATTTAATTTGCAGAATTAGCATCAAAGCATTTCTGCGTTCGGGTTTGGAAGTTTGGACCTAATTCGTCGAAATGAGGAAATTCGTGTTTTGATGTCTATAGACATAGTAGGGCCGTGCCTTATTATTAAGTAAATACTCTTCTCTTTCACTATTCAATATAAGAAAAAGACGTATTAAGAAAGTATCGATTTTGTTTACGAGTGCTGTTAGTTATTTAGTTTATAGATAAGAATCTTGTCTGTTAAGTAAAATTTAATGACTCGAAGACTATGGTACTAGGGTAATCTAAAATATTCATTACGTCCGTGAATGATGCTAGTAAAGCTATTTGAATGGGCCAATTTAAATTAAAAATTTTTTTGCCGGGCTGTTCATAGATTATCTCTTATTTACGAATAATTTACGAAAATTTATAATAAATATTAGAATTCAAAAAAAACTTCAAAAAAAGAGTAAGAGAAAGATTTCATGTACAAATTTTAATGCAAGATAAAAACAAACAAGAAAAGAACAGAAAAATGAATTGTTTCGAGAAAGTCGATAAAATAAATTAAATTTTAGAAAGGCTTGGCGGGCCGCGTGTTGCTCATCCTTGTTCTAGACCACTTCAACTTCAAAAGCGAATCTGTTCAGCTAGCACGTATGACAAACATTCAATATTTCTAAAAGTGTGCAAACAATCATCTTATCCTTGCCCTTTATGTCGGCATTGTGTTACTTTGACCTATATTCTGAACTGATATGGTTTTGATGAACGCAAGGCATATTGTGTATCGGAAAAACAAGAGCAAATGAGATCATCCTTTGTAATTGTATTTTGATATAGTCATCTTTAATTTCTCGACTACATTTACTAGCTATTGTCTGATGTGAATAATAAGTGGTAACTATGAGCTTTATGGGCCATCAAAGACAGACGAGTCGGCTCACATGTCGTTGGAAGTAGTCACTAAATTCATTAAATTACGAGTATATTAAAGTCATTATGATTTTGAATAGATTACAGATAGCTCTTTTTAAAATTCGTTTGAAACAAGGCATGTCACAGAGCCAGATAAACATCGAGAAAGGTAATTAATATTAGTTTTATGGTTTTGGGAGATGGTAATGATATCGAATGACGAAATGCGCCATTGTTAGACGGAGATGATGGGATCGTCTGAGATATCCCACGAATAAACAATGCAGCACTTCGAAGTAGAGAGATCTTATGTTATTGTTGTTTTTTTTTTTTTTTCGGCTCGGGGTCCGAACCTCCTATGAGGTCCCCGCGCCTAAGGTGCGCGCGGGGTATGTGGGACGCAACGATCTGCAGGTGTTGAAAGCAGACCGCGGCCCAAGGAATTTTAGGGCCCACCCACTAAACGACTCCCCTGCACTCTTACACCCGACGTTCGATCTCCTCCGAGGCCAGAACCCGGATGAGGTATGGGGGTTACCGCGGTCAACACTACAACTAGACAGCGCGGCTCATCCCAAGGACGCCCAACCGACTCGATTCGCCTCGAAGGCTCTGAAACGTCGGCCGTCTCGGTACGGCAGCCCGTCAGGCCGCCCAGACGGTGCCGGTGGTGTCCCGGAATACCCCGCTGGACTAGAACCAGCCTGCCGGGTCGGGACGCGATACACTGCCAACTGGTCGCTCTATTACTCTTCGGCAGCGCGCTAGAGTGAGAAATAGATATTCTTATCTTATCAAGTTCCAAGCGGTTCACTGGGATCATGATTTTCGACAGCCAGATCGGCTCTTTTATCAGTATTATTTCGAATCAAGTTAATTGGTATCTCAGATCCTGGTCCCGAGATTTTAGATTTAATCTGGTATAATCTATCGATACACACAGCTCTGGACTGTTGCTTTCGATCACTATTGTTTCACGACGGAAATGGAGACGTTGATGGAACTCTCCAATCAGGCTCAGATGTCCTACGACCGTAAAAACAAAAAAAAATAACCAGTCTACATTTCTAAATTAAAGAATTTACATAAAAATTTTAAAGGAAACCGAGTATAGTTTGGTTATTATTATAAATTCGATAGCTTCTAAGAATTATGCACCTACAATAATCTAGACAAAACTAATATGAAAATTGTTCACTTAATTTTTTGTGATGTTACGTATCCGTTTTTTTAATGTGATGTAATTAAAATTTAAATTAAAAATTTAATGTAATGTAATTTTAATGTAATGTTTCCTCAGTGATTATGATAACGAGCTTATTTTCATAAGTGACACTTCTAAGGAAGGACCTTAATTGCGATTCGCGATGACCTTAGCCTTAATGGATGCGGAATATAATAATATACTAGGAAAAATGAGTGAAATTATAATCTTCTCTGAGCATCATACTTTAGAATACTCAGACTATGTTTTATTTTGGTAGAAGATTGCTCCTGATTATTTGTTTGATTGGTTGACCGACATTTTTGAAGTAATAAGACGTTCAATTATATCTAGTTATTGTGTTCAGTATTAGCGTTTCGTAGACACATTAAAAAAATCTTTTACGATTAAATTTCTCCTTCACTGTTTCCATTTTATTAATAACAGTAAAGAAACTACGAACTGTAATGTATTCGAAACATCAGATACCTTCTTCTTCTTCTTTTTCCCTATTAACCTCTGCTGGGATGTAGGGCTCGACTCAAATTCTTCCATTTGCATCGGTCTTGGGCAGTCTGTTCTATCTTCTCCCATGTCATATCCAAGACGCCCAGTTCCTGCTCTACTGAGCGAAGCCAAGTTGTTCTGGGACGGCTTCTCTTCTGAAACGTCAGAAATAGTAAAATTAAAATAATAAACAGGGAATTGCACCGTAAAACCAGTTTTGATTTCGTGTAATATTTTTATTACCGATAGCATACAAGTTAAAATAAAATTCGGATCGAAAAGTGAATATCTAAATCACCTCCAACGATCTTTTCGAATCGATCGAACACCACCACTTTGCCCGAACATTGAACACCATCAATAATAAGGAAATATATGCACCAAACTGACTTCTATCAATAATTTTGTATCAAAATATTCATTTGGAATTAAACTATTAACACCAACTGGAGTATATATTCAAACTTTTATTCGAGACAAGGTCGGAGCTGAACTAACTCTTATACATTAGCCACGGAACATATATAATATATAGCGGGTGTTCATAAGCACTTATTGTTCTAGCCTGAAGTATTTCAGTACGCATATTTCGGAAGTGAGTACTTGTTACCGAGAACAGCAATAAAAATGTTAACGTTAACAGCTTCCCAACTGCGAGCACCAGTGAATACACTTCGAGTTATATTCATGGTGTTTTGCGTGGCAAACCGAAACTTCCATAACAATAAACATTAGCAACCGGTCTATAATTGTTTCATTTTGTTTGTTACAGAAACGAACGACGCCTCGGAGAATAAAACTGTAAGTATATAATTCTCGATTGTTCCTTAAGTAGTTCATCTAATCCAGTGGATACTGAATTCACTGTAGGATCGATTCTCAGCCGGAATCAGGATTCTTATTAAGGAGTATTTTATTCTGTTTTCGCGAGTCATATTATATCGCGTAATTAAAAACACTTTTACTGTTTTACGATTTATTATTTCCGATTATTCGGATTCGGGTCCGTTTTCGTGGTCACGGACGACGAGTTTAAATCAAATTATATTGTGTTTATTAAATATTCGGGTCTAGGTGTACTACTTGTTTTTATCGAGTTTGTTTTTATCGATTTATGTTTCCGGTTTCCTATACACTAGTCAAAAATCCCAGCTTAGGCAACAAATTTTGTGAAGGCTTACCTTTTTTTCTACACGTCATTATTAAATTTATGTACTGAATAAGGTAACTAAATAAAAGTCTGTAATGACTCTTCAGTTTTACCTTCGGTAAAAACGACGTAATTTTTTTGGAAAAAATAAATTACTAGAAACGAAATACACGAAATCGATTGCCGCCTACACTATCGCTGTCTTTGGCGAAACCGTTACACGCGTCAACGTCTCTGCCAGCTTTAATCTAGATAAAACAACGTTCAATAAAAAAAGTTGATGAAAGAGATCAAAGTGTTTCAATTGGATTGCCCTCGGGGTAAGTACTGGGTTGTCACGAACGGACAGGCGATTCTTTATTTCGTCTGTCCATCTCATCCCTCAGGCGAAACAAAAAATCGATAAGGATTTCGTTTTTGTCGATCTCTGTATTAATATCTGTAGATTATTAAAACCTTAGTAACTCTCTGAGATATTTAATCTGTGGTCCATTTATCCTATTCAAAGAATGATAAATGGAAATATTACAAATCACATATTATGTAAATCAGAATATAATGCATTCGATAGAATTTAATATTTATTCGGAATTGGTTTTTTATGATATCGATAAACTGATATATCCTAGACATTGATTTACCAGATAAAACATAATTAAAAATTTTTTTTTATCGCAAACTTGATCTAGCTTTGATGAAACATTTTTTGACAGCGAAGCTATTTTCACAAATTCTATAAGCTTAAATTTTGTTTGATTTTGCATTTATTTCATCTATTTTTGGTCAAACGAAAGTACGGAGCCATATTTTTAATATTCGCCTCAGGAATTTCGTCAGCTCTAACTATGCAAATAAGATTTTATTACTTTAATGTAGACCTGTCGGCAACACTCCATCTTCAAAACATAATGTACTGTATAATGTAGACATGATTCATATGAATTAGATAATTATAGAGATATCAAATATAAGATATCAGATATCAGATATGATATCAGATATCAGAATAAAGAGGCAGATTCATTGAACACAATAACTGCGCGATCTTTGCATATTGGTAGCTCAAGATACAACTAATACCTACAATAATATAAAATATTTCTATTAAAACAACAGGTCATCTTAACTTAGCTTGGAAAATATTATAGCGCGTGCAAGAATAAATTTTGTAGCCTATAAGAATATTATCTTCTTGGCATTTAAATTTATTCAAGGTGAGGCGTGTATGGTAAAGCATGGCTTAACTAGATTAAGAATAAAAAAGGGAAATTATAAACCAGTTTGGTGAATTTAATGTTTCCTAATACTACTATACTAGGTACTACCAGAATAGCTAATATGTCTACATGGAATGCTGTCTCTCTACCAGATATTGTTATCTCCAACCCCTTTCATAATGGACCAAGATAGATGGTCTTTCGAAGATTAGGGAATTTATTAGTTTATTGATTAAGAATATGTTTCTGTTTCAGGATTTGCCGGTGGAGCAGTTGGAAAAATTGAAAACGGGTGAGTTTTTCGGAAACAACAAAGCCAAGAGGGTTTTTTAATTATTTATTAGGCGGATGAACGAGCTCACGGCCAATATGGTGTTAAGTCGTTATCAGAGCCCGTAGACAACAACAATATAAATACCACCACCTACCTTGAGACATGATTTCTAATTCTCAGTTCTCAACAGCTCTCCCACCCTTCAAATCGGAATTCTTTACTGCTTCACGGCAAAAATAGGCAGGGTGGTGGTACCTACCCGTGCGGATTCACAATAGGTCCTACCATCAGTAATTATGCAAATTATAATTTAGCGAGAAAAAGGTGTATAAAAAAACACATTAGGTAGGCAGCGGCTTGGTTCTGTCCCTGGCATTGTTGTAGGCAGCGGCTTGGCTCTGCCCCTGGCATTGCTGAAGTTCATGGGCGACGTTAACCACTCACCATCAGGTGGGTCGTGTCCTCGTCTGCCCACAAGGGCAATTACAAAGGACACACTTGTGATATTACTGACCAAAAATTCTATTATATACTCAAACAATCAACGAATCGTAAACAGAGAATTTTCTAGGGATTCTTGCGTCTGAAATGTATTTTCTTATACACATATTTCTTGGAAAGGAAAACTTGTTGTTTCGTATTTCAAAAATAAACTTCGAAACCTTAAAAACGAATGAAACCAAACAATTTCTCAAACTCGGACCTGAGACGTGGAAAACAATTGCAGAAAATGCAAGTCGGTTTTTCTATAATTTAGTTTAGCTTATTAATTACCTATGTGTAAAGAAGCTAATGCTTCGGAAGATATCGACGCTTGAAAGGCAAACGTGACTAAGCGACAATGCGTGAACTTTACAGTAGACTAATTTAAAGTTGAAATACCCGAAAACAAAATTTATTTTAACGACTCCAGCTGTAGTAGAATCTAGTAGCTGTAGGATTGAAATGATTTTAATAGACCTATAAATAAATTTTTTTTGCGCATCGAATATGCTTATTGCCTATCATTTATGTACAAAGTAGTTATTGTCGCTTAGTCACTTTTGCCTTTCAAGCGTCGATATAATACTAGCATGAAATAAGAGGTCACGTAACGCAATACTTTTAAGATAATCATTAAAAACTGCTTTTTTATTATTTTTTATTACTTAGATGGGTGGACGAGCTCACAGCCCACCTGGTGTTAAGTGGTTACAGGAGCCCATAGACATCTACGACGTAAATGCGCCACTCACCTTGAGATATCAGTTCTAAGGTCTCAAGTATAGTTACAACGGCTGCCCCACCCTTCAAACACCACCCTGCCTATTTTTGCCGTGAAGCAGTAATGCGTTTCGGTTTGAAGGATGGGGCAGCCGTAGTAACTATACTGAATTCTTAGAACTCATAACTCAAGGTGGGTGGCGACATTTGCGCTGTAGATGTCTATGGGCTCCGGTAACCAATTAACATCAGGTGGGCCGTGAGCTCGTCCACCTATCTAAGCATTAAAAAGAAACAAAAAAAGGGCACTATGGTTTAGATCCAATGCATTGCTTGTTATTGAAGACATGAGTGGATGAAGGGGATATGATACAATTTATTAATTTTGAGAAAACGGGCAACGAACTTTTGTTACTTGTAACTCCTGCATCACATGCAATTTCTAAAAATAGCCTTTAAGCTAGGAATTTTAAGGTATAACAATTTTTTGAATTTTTTTAATTGCTTAGACGGGTGGACGAGCTCACAGCCCACCTGATCTTAATTGGTTACCGGAGCCCATAGACATCTACAGCGCAAATGCCGCCACCCACCTTGTGATATGAGCTCTAAGATCTCAGTATAGTTACAACAGCTAACGGTTTTTTTTTTTATTTTTTTTTATTGCCTTTGTAGGCAGACGAGCATACGGCCCACCTGATGGTGAGTGGTTACCGTCGCCCATGGACTTCAGCAATGCCAGGGGCAGAGCCAAGCCGCTGCCTACCGCTTAATACTCTCCACAAGCCTCGTTTGAAGAAGGACATGTCATAGCGCTCGGGAAACACCGTGTAGGGGAGCTCATTCCATAGCCGGATGGTACGTGTATACGCACATAACACTTTCATTCAATGTAAAAACTAAAAAACCTTAAAAATTATACTTAATCCCTTTATCCATTCATGTCTTCTATTATTTGATCATAAGCTGGATTAACAGTGTAACTAAGCCTCGCATCCAAGCGCTTACCACACACACACACATTATTATTGTGTATCTCGTTGTCCCAACACGAGTTCTTTTAACAGGATTGCAACATAAATAACACAAACGCAACATTAGCAGTAACCATTGGACGTGAAACCACCAAAAAACGCTGACATCATTGAATTGGATTACAAAATTGAAATCCTTGCTTAATCTATACCCGACTATAATACTGGCCGTCATAAGTACTATGACATCACTTTCCACTTGACGGAGTCCTTCAATGTGCTCCAACTTCCCGCCATTTGTACGGCTTCCGGCGTTGGTATTGCCAGTTAGCTACAGAATAATCGAAAAGCGAATACATACTGAGATCTTAGAACTTATATCTCAAGGTGGGTGGCGCATTTACGTTGTAGATGTCTATGGGCTCCAGTAACCACTTAACACCAGGTGGGCTGTGAGCTCGTCCATCCATGTAAGCAATAAAAAAAATTCAAATGAAATACATATCAAAAACTATTTATTTATCTATCTATCATTAATTATCCTACACGGTGAGGACATATCAGAAAAGGAACAGTTTCAATCTTGAGCTCAAATCATACATTAGTTTTTTTTATTTTATTTTAACTTCTTTATAATACCAATTAAATTAATGGTACTATATTTTTGGGGAAGCTTAAACGACAAAGGGAAGATCTTCCACCGAGCGGATGATATTGCTCGGTAGACCAAATGCTGTTGTTCGGAACTTGTATATATGCGCTTTATCTTGAAAATGTCGTAAGCGAGATTCAGGCATCTGTCAATTATCTTCCGTTGTATGATGGCTACCTGCCACATCACTCCCCTCCGAGACTGGAGGTCGTGTCATTTTTAGTTAGCGTTGTCCGTGCTGAGATTAGCTTGCAAGGGCCAGTGCTGCTCGAAGCCTGCGGTGAGTCGAGGCTGAGCTTGAATGCTGCGTGCGTGTCGCCAGTGCTGCTCGAAGTTTGCAGTGAGTCGAAACTGAGCTGAATGCTGCGTGATTGTCGCCAGTGCTGCTCGAAGTCTGCGGTGAGTCGAGACTGAGCTTGAATGTTGCGTGCGTGTCGTGCGTAGTCCATGTGATGCAGAGCTGCCACGCCGGAGATGTGTGACCCCAAGCGTTGATGATCCGGTCGTGGGCTGCGATGAACTGTAGCGGCGTGATGAGGCAGTGAAGTTGCGTGCCGTAGGACCAGGAAGCGCGGTGAGTCGGCTGCGATGGTCCTGTTGAGGCTGCGATGCTGGCTTGCTGTGGGACGACTGTCAATGATGTACTTTTATCTGCGAGAATGCGGGGATTGTGGTAGCCGAAGTTCTTGATGCGCTGAAGATGAATCAGAAGGTTGCGTATTCACATCACGTCGGGGTCACTAGTTTTGGGGAAGCTTAAACGACAAAGGGAAGATCTTCCACCGAGCGGATGATATTGCTCGGTAGACCGACGGTCCAAATGTTGTTGTTCGGAACTTGTATATATGCGCTTTATCTTGAAAATGTCGTAAGCGAGATTCAGGCATCTGTCAATTATCTTGCGTTGTATGATGGCTACCTGCCACATATTAATATCCTCAATATTAAAACAAATAACAGTACTGGCAGATGAGCCACTATGGAATATAATTTTTCTAACGACTTTACTTTACTGACTTAATCTGAAACAAACCCACTTTCGAACTCACAAAGCTGACGTGTCTTTGAAATGTGCTGATCTTTAGACGGAGGGAATTAGTTAAGTTTACCGCGTGAGAGACGACCTCTGGGCCCCGAAGGATTACAAAATCCAAATTGACATAGACGACGGTCGATCTGTAATCAAGGAGCAGAAAGGACGATGTCTATAAATTTCAAAGATCCAAGATTTATATTCGGAGTCAGTCACGTTCTAACTTTGAAGTTGAAAATTTTAAATTAGAAAAAAAAACCTGCATAGTATTTGCATCTTCAATGGAATATTAATATTTTATTAATATAATAAATTAATATGCAAAGAGTAATCAGTAAAAGAAATCAAATGAACGAAAAAACTGAATAAAAATTAAAAATAAAGTAATGGGTAAAAGTGGAAATAAACGTTCCGATTTCAAATTACGACGAAATAGTTTTGTTCGAAGAGTTTTTATCACGATTTTCTAAATTATTGAATTTCGGTGAGCTCGTCTGACCGTTTAGGCTAATTCAATTTAGAATAGTTTAATATTAATTGTTGTTCTACTAAAGGTATGTAGGAGCACCAAATCTTTGAGGTCTCAATCCCAACTGCAATGGAATAACTATCTCACTTACCATCTAAACAGAGGTACACTTCGCGAGGGAAATAGTCAGTAATAATGTGAGAGTTATCTATCAATGAATATAAAATGCTAATTACGCGAATATGAAATCGGAAATAGTCAGTAGTAATATGAGAGCTATCTATCAATGAATATAAAATGCTAATTACATAAACATAAAATGCATTTCGTTTCAAAATTGAAATAAAAACACGCACAAGTAAAATCACACCGTAACAATCAATTTGCTGTTGACATAACGTGAAACGAAGTATGTAATGGAAGCTGCAGTAACCTGCCCAAGTATCCGTATCGTACGAGAGACTCGATAGTAAATATTTACGAGGGGACATCGGGCACGTTTCCGTAATCCGTACCGTAAAGAGCTCTAGCAAAAATAAATGGTATATCAACCAATCGTCCGCGGCAAGTTTATTTTATAAATAACTAGCGACCCGCCCTCGCTTCGCTTCGGAAACATTAAAACACACATGAAACCAAAAAAAAAAATAAAAAAAAGTAGCCTATGTTCATCAGGGACAATGTCGGCTTCTAATGGAAAAAGAATTTTTCAAATCGGTCCAGTAGTTTCGGAGCCTATTCGAAACAAACAAACAAACAAATCTTTCCTCTTTATATTATTAGTATAGATGTATCTATTTTTAAATAAACTGGCTTTTGACGAAAATCTATTAAAAAAAATCATTTACCTATGTTTTCTCAAATAATTGTTACATGTACAGATTCTGGTCATAAATATATTCACAATAAAAAAAAGAATACTACATTTGAATTTGGAACCCCTCATTCTCATCATAATTCTAAATATTATATTCATTGGGTTTATGTACTCATTTTCGCGCCAATCACAGCAAAAGTAAGAATTTCTGTGATATCATCATTATGGAGTGGAAAGATTGAGAAAAACGAATTGCTGTGATAAATTTACACAAAATAATATATATTACTTAAGGCTTAAAATTTGGCATTAAAGGCAATGGAGATAATTTTCAATTAGTTTTAGCAAAAAGCATTTTTGAAAATGGTTTCTAGTACACTTAGAAAGCATTAAATCGACAATGTTTTAAAGGTAATTTTCTGCTTAGCATTTCATTAGCTGAATACCATTTACTGAATATAAATTCGCTGTGCACCATTAACCGAATTATTAACTCAAATTTAGCTAATGTCCGTAATAAGTATCGATTTGAACTTCTGTTACAAGAATTTCTTGTGGTGGAGTTTTTACTCAGTGTCTCGGAATGAGGTCAGCTATACACGAGGTTTTCTAGTTAGTCCCAATAAATGTTTATAGGCGTCGAATTCATTAGATCAACCACAATTTCTAAGAAGTATCCTGTTAAGTGGAACGAACTCAAACATTTCTCAAATAAAGTGAAAATAATACGTGATTATAGTTAATTGCGTTGTTGGAAAAATAATGTTGAATTGATAATTGAAGGTACGCGGTAACTGAATATAAAATAAAACCTTTAAGCCATTTTATTTTTTATCGGTGAAATACGAAATGGGTTCATAAGGAAAAAGTACTAGTTAAGTATTGTTATTTAATGGCTATAATTTTGTCGGTCACTCTGTAATAATATCTGCCCGTTAGATAATAATATTGGTGACGTCTTTTTATGATTAGACCTAGTTTTTGAGTGAGTTTTGCAAAAAAGTAGTCATTAGGTAAAGGTGTGTTCGCGTAGATGTCGAAAAATTATTTAATCATTTAATAATTATTAATTATTTATTTTCTACATATTGATTTTTTTTACATATTAGTTATTTAATGCAATTGCAACAATATTAATTTAGAAAAGTTTTCGCCAAATGCTCGACCATAATTACTGCTACCTCAAGAATTAGCTTTACCTCATACCTCTACTAAACATATAAAATAATACGAAAATTAATTGACAAATTTGCCTAGTTCTGAAAATAGAAAATAAATGTATTATTTTTTTAATCTGTATTTTAATCGTGAGTTTATCTATCAATTAAAAATTTAACTTCACGTTAAAATTAAAACATTCTTTCTTTGACAGCGGATTCGAGTGGAGATGGTGCTGGGATCGGAAGCGCACACGTTGAATTCCATAGCCTCGGTAAGTTAAGACATGTTTGAGAACATAAAAGGGCTTCTTTTTTTATTTATTTTTTGTTTCACCATGTAGGTTTATTCTCTAAAAAGTTTACGATTTAATGCAAAAACTTTTTTGTTATGGACTTAAAAAAAAAGGAAGTTATTAAATCGACCGTGATTTATTCAAGGGCGGATCCAGCTTTGGCGCCAGGAGGGGGTCACATAGTCAAATTTAGATGCGTTCGTTCCCAAACGTTTGCCATTATACAAAGTTATTATATTATATTAAATTAATTAAATATTAAAAGTATGTAGTTACATAAAATCTATATGGTGACAAAATATATAAATAAAATCATTTTATTCAATTAGTGGTCCACCTAAGTCCTGGACCCAGCTCAGGGGGTGGTCATGACCCCCATGACCCTCCCCCTGGATCCGCCATTGGATTTATTTATGTGCTTATAAATTACCTACGATTTTTTTCCAGGTGAACAGATTTTAATGATTTTATTTTTTGAATGTCAACATGTAGTCCCATCTAACCTTTATCAAGATCTGACCATTCGTTTTTAAGTTATCGCCAATAATTATACATAATTAAATATTCATATTTATTTCATCTCGACTATTTATTTTATTCTGTTTAAGTCGAATTTTGTGCTTTTGTTTTAATACTTTTATTTTTATTTTACATAACATCGTCGTTCTATTTATGTTGCTATGCATTACAAACAAAATTTACTTACTTACATGATATTTACTTTAGGGTTTCGGCGAACAAATTCTCCTAACAAATCACCCGAAAGAAAAGCGTTTACAAATTCCTCTATACTCAATGAATACATAATATACAATACGTGAGCCCTCAAACAAGGCATGACTAGCGTATCGGCGGTATTGTTTAATGTTTTATAGAAAAGTAATCATGTTTTCTTCTAAATTTGCAATGGAATGGAAGTGAAGTTAAACAGTGATTAATGGAAAATACCGTATCCCACATGGTGGTTAGGTCAGCTTTCCTGACTTTACTCCTCCATTTCGCTCTGTCTTCGACATCCTCGTCAGCAACATTGCATTCTCTCTTGTCCTTTAGCACTACGTCCCTCCACCTTGTCTTGGGTCTACCTCTAGGTCTCCGACCGGGGAGGTCGAGCAGGAGCGGCAAATTTCCGACGTATTCAGGCGGCTTCCTTTTCACGTGACCATACCATCTCAGCCTATTCTCCTGCATCTTGTCGGCGGTGTCCCGTACACCTAGACTTCCACGCACGTGCTCGTTGCGGATTTTATCGAGCCTAGTCACGCCGCACAATAAATGACCGGCCACAATTCTGTATTATTACTAAGTTAACAGGGTATCGAATATTGATTATGCAAAACGAAATAGAGTCAGACGAGGCAGCATTGACAAAGACTAATTAAGTTGCGTATCGAGTAGTAACCGTTAATATAATGCTCCTGATCGCACCTGGAATACTAAAAGCGATATTGAGTCCATTAACAGAGCGGATAAAACCTCTGTACGTCCCCTCTAAACCAAGCTTTAAGCTCTTGTTAATAGTCTGTTTGCTTACGCGATCTCAGCTGTGTACTTTAATGAAACTGTACTGGAATAACGAGGATAGGTGAATATCAAGTATTTCGGATTTCGTTTTCAATTAATGAAGTTCACATTTTAGTACGTTATATTACGTAAGTTATATGGCTACACTGAATAAAATTATTATAAACAGTCAATTTGTATTATTATTTTTAATTGAATTTGTGGGTGAACGTACTCACGCCTCACCTAATGGTAGATGGTTACCAGATGAAATAGACATAGCAACACGAATGCCGTGCATCAGGTCGACGTCTTAGTTGCCTATTCTACATATTATAATTGTAGTGTAATTCTTCAAACCGAAATGCATGTCTTCTTAATGGGAGAAATAGAATAATGAAACCTATCCGTACTCGCTTACTTTTTTTTTTTCCTACCTTTGCTTGCCTTATAGCCTTGAGAGGCTATTTCAGCTTCGCCCTAACGTTTGTAGGTGAGCTCGCGAGGCTCAACCGGAGAGACTCTCGCTTACAATATCAACAATAATTATCTATTTGCATGAGCGATTGTGTATTCTAATCTCTAATTTGTAGTTATCAATGAACAAATTTGTCTATGAAATCACTAGGTTTGTAATGTACACTTGAAATACTAGTTTACTATTGTAGGCATAGATATACTATTAGTAGTTTCATTATATGTGTATTTGACACAATATATTTTATAGGCAATAATTTGATCAGCATCATGAATTCAATTTCCGTAAGTCAAAGCTCAAATATTTGATAAACACTTAATAGTGGAGTAAATTGACTTTCATTTTCGAGCCTAAATAGTTTAGTATGTTATAATTAAATTATTATGCCGTGAATTCGATTTTATGGTTTTTTGCCGTGAATTCGATTTTATGGTTTCGATTAATAGTTGTCATTGGCCTAATTGGTATATAGTTGAGTGACTAGTCAAACACGCTTTGCAGGCCGACCTTTAATTTGACTTTCGATCGCCACTATACTTTGTAGGAACCGTAGGAGCCGAGGATTCCCTAAAAACTTCATTGAAATCGGTTCCGCAGTTTAAGAGTCTATAGGGAACATACATACATTGCATATAAATCAACTTTTGTACAAATGAGCAATTAAAGCATTTTAACTACAGTATAATAAAGAGTACGTAAAGTGGCATATATCAAAAGTAAAAAAGTATTTTTTTTCTACCTAATCGTTGGTAGCTTGTACGACTATTCCACGCTACGCCCTGTTAGTTAGGTGAGCTCACTTAGGGCCTTCGATCATCAATAGTAACGATCGAAGCTTAGGGCCTTAAACTAGCCCCAGCAAGGACAATGCTTCGCTGTTTCTACCACCGGATCAGAATCGCGACCCACTGAGAAGATCCGGGCAGAAACTCAGTGGGTTGTATCTGTGAGTGAGTGAGTGTGAGTTAAGTGGCAAGTCGAACCCTTCGCCGTATTCGACGGGCTTGACGAGAACGGGGACCGATGTTTTAAATGCCTAAAAGCACAAATAAACATAATTTATGCCTATTTTTTCTCCATGCAATAATGGATAGGACTTAGAACCGTAGTTAAAACGTGCTATAAATTTTAAATTTTATATTAGAGTCCTAGAAAATTGCGCAGCTTAAACAGACAAAAATGTACATCACGTTCAAAAAGTCGAAATTAAAATTCACTTACTTTTTGTACATAAATTAATTTAGACAGACTATTAAAACTGCTGCTACTGTTTGATTTCGCGGCTATTTATTATCACTATTTTATTTCCGATGTTTCAAATAATTTACAGTTTTCGTGGTCACAGGCGACTCTCAGTCGTTGCATAATGACATTAAAAAACCCGAGATTAAATCGCAAAAGTAGTTTTCAATTATTTCTACGAATCGAGAAATTTACTGGTGGTAGGACCTCTCGTGAGTCCGGGCGGGTGGGTACCACTACTCTGCCTATTTCAGCCGTGAAGTAGTAATGCGTTTCGGTTTGAAGGATGGGGCAGACGTTGTAGCTATACTGAGACCTTAAAATTTATATCTCAAGGTGGGTGGCGCATTTACGTTGTAGATGTCTATGGGTTCCAGTAACCCATCTAAGCAATAAAGAAAAAACCGTAGCAAATATTATTTTCACCATGCGTTTATTCCTTATGCGTAGATGCCATAAAAGCAAACGGCGAGCTTGTATCTCGACTAGAGCAACACGCTTCGGCTGACTCGGTGAACGGTGAGAAACCACGGGTACACGCTCAAGCCCAGCTGGACGTGCCTTCGGAAGGTGTTCACCGCGTCCTCGAAAATGACGGCTCTCATGTCAGCGTGCATGACGTCACATCACCTCCAACGGCAGCAGCAGATGAGGTTACTCCTAAGGCAAGTGTTGATTTATTGTGCTTTATTTAGTGTATTTTTTTTTTGTGTGTATTTTTACTGGTGGTAGGACCTCTTGTGAGTCCGCGCGGGTAGGTACCACCGCCTTGCCTATTTCTGCCGTGAAGCAGTAATGCGTTTCGGTTTGAAGGGCGGGGCAGCCGTTGTAACTATTCTGAGACTTTAGAGCTTATATCTCAAGGTGGGTGGCGCATTTACGTTGTAGCTGTCTATGGGCTCCAGTAACCACTTAACACCAGGTGGGCTGTGAGCTCTTCCACCCATATAAGCAATAAAAAAAAGTGTGTATTTACTGTGCGTGATTTATTGTGCTAGACATTCATCTACGAGAACACCAGCCAGTCAGTTCAGTGATAAAACAAATTAATGTTTAACAGTTTTCGTTTAATTTGAATACATTTCTTATTTTGACGCATCAGATATTAATTACTTTACAGGTCACGAAAGAATCAAAATAAAATTCAGTGATTAAGTTTTTGGGTTTGGAAATAACTGTAAATGTCAAGTTTGCCTACTAAATAAATAAATTAAAATTTTTGAATTTAAAATAAATATTTTTGAAAATTTCCTTATCCATTCATGATTTGTGATGATCATCTGTTCCTAGATTTCCACAGTCAAGTGGACTTTGTGTTTTTGTGTACCCAAATAAATATAATATAACTAGCTGTATCCGTCCGCTTCGCTGAGCATTTAAAATTAACATTATTATTATTCACTCCCACAAAGATTCTCATCATTAACGCCCCCGCAACTGGTCTAGGGAGTCCAACACTCATATAAATATTAGCCTATCCATTAAGTACATGTATTTTCTACATGAATACCAAGTTTCAACCGGATGCATGGTTCAGTAGTTATAACGGAACATTCGTAAAAACCACTGTAGATTTATATAATATTAGTATAGATTCCCGATATTAATAATGTAAAATTAATAAGCTAATATAATATTAAGTTTACAGTTTTCCTGGTCGCGAACGGCGGGAAATGAAATGCAACTTATAACACTTTAGAGTTGTGGAATGTTTTGGACATCAAGTAATATTTTTTCAGGTTTTTCACGGAGCAGCACGCCTTATCCAGCCAGGCTCGGCAACCAGCGCGCCCCAGGGCCACACCGCAGCGCGCCGTGCTCTCAATCCAGCTCCTATTAATGTCAGTGATATTGGATTTTGAAATTTAAAAAAAATATAGTATACTAGCTGACCCGGCAGACTTCGTAGTGCCTCAATCGATAAATAAAAGACCTAAACTTTTGTATAAAATAAACTTAAAACAAACAAAAGGAATCCGTCCGACGGGGGACACATCAAAGGAAAAACAAAAATTTTATTTTTATTTCATTCCGTGCATCTTCATATTTATCTACCTTTTAAACCTTCTCTGGACTTCCACAAATAATTCAAGACCAAGATTAGCCAAATCTGTCCAGCCGTTCTCGAGTTTTAGCGAGATTAACGAACAGCAATTCATTTTTTTTTTCTTAAAAGGTTGTACGTGCTCACAGCCCACATGGTGTTATGTGGTTATACCTTAAGATAAGTTAAGGTCTCAGTATAGTTACAACGGCTACCCCACTTTTCAAACCGAAACGCATTACTGCTTCATGACAGAAATAGAGGGGGTGATGGTATCTACCCGTGCGGACTCACAAGAGGTCCTACCACCAGTAAAATAGATAGAAGAGACAATAAGATATTCGTTGGTCTCTGCAGCAAGTGGAACACTTTTCACCGGCGAACACAGCAGCCGGTGTCCAGTACACGCCGATGGAGATGGCCGAATACGTGTTCTGGACCGGAGACGAGCGCGGCGTGACCACCGCCATTGAAGTCTTCTTGCAGGAGGGAATGGTGAGAAATGTATATATTTTTTATGTTATACAGGCCCGTGGACAAGAGAAGCGACTTGTGTACAACCTGATCGTAGTATAGTATGATGATGCTTAAATAGAAGATTATGTTGCAGCGTTGTAGGGGAGCATCGTGAACGGCAATAAATTTTGTCTTTCGAAACAATTACATTCAATCTGCATTGATAACTTTTATACGAATGAAATAAAGATTTCGAAATTACGTAGTGTTGTCTATGGACTTCTGTTGCGAAAATGAGCCCTCACTGGTTAAAAATCTATAGATTTAAAATTTGAAAAAAAATTGACATAAATTAAAAGGAAATGAATGTGCAATTAGATTTTAGATTGATTTCATTGGTTAGTCTTTTGTTTTGTCATCATTATTTTTTCTTGTGTAAGTGGGGAAAGTTCAGAAAAGAAAGTGGTAATTGAATGTTTAGTCTTTCCCTTATATTACCTAGAGATTGAGTGAAATGAGGTATTTTTGTGCATCGTGTGTTAGAGGTTGCCTATTCCATTATATATTACTAGCGACCCGCCCTCGCTTCGCTTCGGAAACATTAAAACACACATGAAACCAAAAAAAATATAACAAAAATAAAAAAAAGTAGCCTATGTTCATCAGGGACAATGTCGGCTTCTAATGGAAAAATAATTTTTCAAATCGGTCCAGTAGTTTCGGAGCCTATTCGAAACAAACAAACAAACAAATCTTTCCTCTTTATAATTATAATATTAGTATAGATAAAGTAATGTAATTAATTTGTGTGTTCAATAAAAATTACTTTGCTCTCACTAAAATTCAGATGACGAAGGAAGAAGCTATATCTTTCTTAGAAGAAATCAAATTCAATTTGGACTATCTCCGCGCGCACTACGCGCAGAACATGAAGGCTGCAGAGGAGAACGCTCACCAGGAGAAACTCAGGAACATGCTCCTAGAACAGGTCAAGGTTAGTTCTATTCGAGGTATAAAGAAAATAAAACTGGAGGTTTCGCAACAACCTACGGTCATTCGGTAACGTGCGAACTTATTGTGGTACACTTCATTCACGGTTGTTTGCATAAGAGTTAGTGTATTGCGCAAACGAACGCTCTGAGATCGTGGTCAATGAATGATAAAAAAAAATGTTATTTTCTGTAGGTAGGTTATTACAAAGTTAAGTCGTACACTGTGTGCATTACTAATAAAAATCTTACGTTACGGACGTTTTTTCCTGGTTAGGGTACCCCTCCGCATCGTCCCATAAAGAACTTCGTTCCAAAACCTAAATCACGCCAACGACATTTACAAAATATATTTATACAAGTTCCGGCTCCATCAACTCAGTGGAACGCCTTCTCTTTTTCGTCGCAGCTGATTAATATTATTATTTTCTTCATACTTTTGTGTGATTAGTGATTAGTGACCATAGACCACACAATTCAATGCTGCCTTAAAAGTTGAGGTCGTAGTTACAATTCTATAGCGGTTCTCCACCCTTCATATCGGAACGCGTGACAGCTTCGCGGTAGGAATGCTCAGAATAGTGACATTTACCCATGCGGGCACATAGTATATCTAATACCAGTTATACGCAAAATCATTTATATTGTGTCTATTTCGTATTGAACACCGGTTTAAAGTTCTGTACTGAATCAAATCCCTAATACAATATTGATGATAGTCACTACATAATAAGACGCGTTGCGAGACCACCATTTTGAATATTTTTACCGCGAAAATATTACTGGAAGACTTAATTTCAAATTTCGAATAATAGATGCAAAAAGATTAACTCGTAACAATTAATTAGAGGTTTTATTGTCAATAAAAATATATAGGAAAGAGTTTTAGATTTATTTCTGGATATTTTAGTTTGACAGAAACTGCGAATGATCCCTCGAAAAATATTATAGGAAATAAACTCTTGAAAGTCTCCTCCGGGGGACATTTCTCAACACCAAGGCACATCTCGACGACAAATCCAATTAAATGTTAAGGCTTTCCGCTTGTTTCGGGCAAACGATTCCTTTCAATTTAACTTGAACGAGTAAAGAATTGGGTCAATTTATCGAGAAACGTTTTCGTTTCTTCCGATCGAGGTTAATCTGTAAAGCAATTAAACGCGTGGTTCCCCATACACCTACTTATGTTCTGAAATTTGTTATTACTTTATAGCTTTTTGAGGCGGTTCTGATGTTGCATATAACGCTAAGTCTATGTCGCTTTTAGACATTGAGATCGAAATCCCAATTGACCTGGTGTTAAGTGGTTACCGGAAACCATAGACATTACAACGTAAATGCCGCCATCCACCTTAAGATATGAGTTCTAAGGTCTCAGTATAGTTACAACGGCTGCCACACTCTTCAAACCGAAACGCATTACTGCTTCACGGCAGAAATAGGCGGGGCGGTGGTACCTACCCGTGCGGACTCACAAGACCTCCTACTAACATAACGCTAAGTGTGTGATCGAAATCTCAAATGCTTGTTACGTTTTATTGTATAACGGCTGCCCCACCCTTCAAACTGTGTTTACGATAGAAATAGATAGAAGTTGAATGAATGAATGAAAATTCTTTATTGCACAAAATAGTGTACAAAGGCGAACTTAACGCCAAGCAGGCATTCTCTTCCAGTTAACCATCGTTGATGAAGTGAAAGATTCAAGAAGTGCGTAGCTGTGATGAAGTTAATGCATGGCGATAATTTTGAGAATTACAGTAGACATGAGTAAAATGAACACTAGGTTATAAATTACATTGCCAAAACAAATACATAGATAGGTCCATACACACAAAGACTAGTTGTACCCGTCCGCTTCGCTGGGCATTTAAAATTAACATTATTATTTGTACCCCCACAGAGATTCTCATCATTAACGCCCCCGCAACTGGTGTAGGGATTCCAACACTCATATAAATATTAGGCTATCCATTAAGTACATGTATTTTCTACATGGATACCAAGTTTCAAGTCAATCGGATGCACGGTTCAGTAGTTATAACGGAACATCCGTAAAAACCACTGTAGATTTATATATTAGTATAGATATACAAATAAGAATGTTCGTTGAATGATTTAATTTGAGCGAGTTGGTGACGGACCCAGGATTACCAGTACCGCGTTCCAGTGGTCCAGTCCTCGTTCGGAGGTAACCACGCGCGCGGCTGGGAGCTCGGCGCCGGCGCCCCCCTGGACCCCGTCAAACGCGCCTACGACCCGATGCTCCAGACCAACATTATCAGTGAGTTGATATTTCACTACACGTGTGCTTGCAACACCAAATATTACCAAAGGCTTTTGGCGGGAACATAACTGTGTAACTTTAGGGTTGTGTATTGCCTCTTTCTTAACAATATCGAATACACATTTTTAGTAACGAAAAGTACCATTATATGTTTTTTTTATTTTTTATAGCATAGGTTGGTGGACGAGCTCACGGCCCACCTGATTTTAAGTGGTTACCAGAACCCATAGTCATCTACAACGTAAATGTCGCCACCCACCTTGAAATATGAGTTCTAAGGTCTCATATAGTTACAACGGTTGCCCCACGCTTCAAATCGAAACGCATTACTGCTTCGCGGCAGAAATAGGCAGGGTGGTGGTACTTACCCGCGCGGATTCACAAGACGTCATACCACCAGTAAATAAGTAATGTTTTACCATTGCGGTGTGTGCTTATCGCAGGCACATCGGACTACGACCGCGACGGCCAGATCATCACCGATGAGGAGTACGAGGAGATGATGGACAAACTGAAGGCAGCTGATACTCTGTACACGGAATACACTCTCGAGGAAATCATCTACCAGCTCGCCAAGGTACGTGTCGCGGAGCTTCGTTTTTTTTTATGCTGCTTCTTACCTCCGGCGCTTTGTCGGAGTCCGTTTTTACAATCTTCCTTTCACTTCATTTCACCCTGTTTTCTTCTCACGCTTTCACTATCATCCTGATTCCTTTATTTATTCATCATCTTTCATTCTATCTCTATTAGTGCACATCAGGAGTTGGGAAGGGTTATCCTTTAATTTTCGAGTCTTTCATTACATTTTTTATATTTAGGATACTTATGCAACTTATTTCTATTACTTATTTTTAAACATCTGTTTTAAATCTAAATTACTAATATACATGACAATGTGTATAATAAACGTGTTGTGTTAATTACTCTGATTTTGACTAGACGCGCCCCGCGGTTTGACTTCACGAATTTTGAAATACGTTTCCTTTTCCCGGGATAAAGAGTTGTTTACGTTAATCTCTCGTGTATCAAATAGGTACAGGCCGATTACCGAACACATTTTTGCAGTTATTATATGCTTGGCAAACTATATAGGTAGTGAGCGACAAGGATAACGCTCTACGGAATTAGCCAATTGTCTCTTTCTAAAGGTCGATGAGCAATATTTATCGCCGGGTAGGTACTTCAACAAAGTTTCATATTCATTAATATAGATAAATAACTAAGATTTTCTGGATTTTTCCTAGTAAATAATACATTCGCGTGTCCATCAACCGATTAAATTGAAAATTGCTGATGCCCTGTTATCTTATACTTTTCAGTTTATTAGTGGTAGAGTAATGTAAGGGTGATATTCATTAGCTTCATTGTAGCACGAATTTATGCGCTTCTGTTTTAAACAATTGACAGCCGTTACTAATCTATATATTAATACGTGAAGCAAAAACTTTGTATCCCTTTTTACGAAAATTGCGCGGACGGAGGAGTATGAAATTTTCCACACTTATAGAGAATATAGACAAGAAGTGCACAATGCTAATATTTTTTTAAAATAATGCATAAAAGATTGAGGGCTCCTTGGATCGGATCTCATAAAGGATTCTGTAATGGACGTATCCTGTAAGTTGTGGTTTTGGCTAACATTAAATCAATAAAAAAAACATTACACACACTACAGACCATGTATTTGACGCACACACGCATGCATACTATTTATTGTCAAACTTTTGTTTTTGACGTCTGTTGTCAAGTTGAGAATAGATTAAATATTGTTTGTCTTTGTTTATATTTTTATAGTGTAGTCTTGGCGAAATTTGTGATTATAGAAGTATAAAAGTATAAAATACAATCATAATAGTGTACAAACTTACAATTCCAATTAATTATAGTCTAATTTCGACTACTGCGGGACCTTTAGTACAATTTAATAGCCCACTGAGTTTCTCGCCGGATCTTCTCAGTGGGTCGCGTTTCTGATCCGTTGGTAGATTCTGCGAAGCACTCCCCTTGCTAGAGCTAGTGTTAGCACCACTCTGGCTTAAGCCCCGTGAGCTCACCTAAACGTCAAGGAGAAGCTGAATTAGCCTCTCAAGGCTATCAGCATAGGTAGGGAAAAAACAATTGAGATTTCGACCTTATATTATCTCGAATTGGACATGTTGATACCATGTCCACTAAAGAGACATAAGCGTACGACAGAACATACGTACGAATAAGCGTACGACAGAACATAGCGTTACTATAACACTTCCAGATGATGTTCTCGCAGTCTCTGTCCCGGGACCCCGCGTCTGCGCGCGCCGCCACGCAGCGCTTCATGGCGTTCCTAGAGCTGGAGGCCGAGCGGGGACAGCTCTCCCGGACCATCGAGAAGAAAGTGCTCGGTACAAACAAACAGCGCTTATAGTGTCATTTGTTATTATGGAAATAGGAAACGGAGACGTACGATTATTGTACATAAAAAAATAAGTTGCTGCGAGATAATTGCGTGTTTATCATTTCATTAAAACGCCTTTTACGGTTTATTTTCGCATTATTTATTGTTTATTTATTTAGCTTATATGGGTGAACGAGCTCACAGCCCACCTGGTCTTAAGCAGTTACCGTAGCCCATAGACATCTACAACGTAAATGCGCCACCCACCTTGAGATATAAGTTCTAAGGTCTCAGTATAGTTACAACGGCTGCCCCACCCTTCAAACCGAAACACATTACTGCTTCACGGCGGGAATAGGTAGGTACCGCCACCTAGGACCTCCTACCACCAGTAAAAAATTCGAAATGGCGAAATTTCGAGTACAGTTTTCGTGGCAACGAATTTTTTTTAGAAATGGTGCTACTGCAGTGTTCAGATTTCAACGAATAACACTTTAGTCATCCGTGACCACAAACATTGTGAAGTTTTGGAACTGTCCGCAATAATATAATGACAATAAAAACACAAGATTAAACCGCGAAAGCTGTTTTAATTAATGTTTGCGACTCGTGAAAACCGAAGATTGTATAATGCCTTTAATTATTAAAATGTTATGTGTGGCACCCCTAGTAATAACATATAATGCTTTCATTCTAGATGTCATGATCGCTGCTTTGACGGACACGATCGGCGATCACCCGGAACTGCTGCAGGCGCACGATTCCATCGGCGTGAGCCCTGGGAACAGGTAGACTTTTTTTCCCACCTATTCTAGTAACCTCTAGGGGCTATTATAAATTAACCGAGCTAGTAGGTGAGCTCACGGGGCTCAAACCGGGAGTGTTGTTAACACTGGCCCTGGCAAGAAGAGTGCTTCGCAGAATCTACCACCGGATCGGAAACACGACCCACTGAGAAGATCCGGCGAGAAATTCAATGGTCTGTGTCTATGGGTTAATTAACTCGTCAAGCCCTTCGTCGCAAGCGACGGGCTGTTACATATCCTTAAACTATAAGTTTTTTAAGATTGGTGAACGGCCGAACGATAGTATCGTATAACGCCTCGAGCATACCCGTCGTTCGTTAATTCATTAATTCACCTATAGTAACTGTACTTTTAAGTCAACTAATGCAAATTCAATTCTAAACTCAACGTCAATCATAGGTACCAATCAAAGGCAAAAATAGTCTTGACCTTGAGTTCTTAATACGTATCTACTTCTGTCCACCTTTCCAATTTATTAACTCATCAAAATAACACTTTAGGCTGATGCGGCAGTTCCTGGAGACGAGTGCATCGGAGCCGGGCATGTCGCGCGCCATACTGGCCGCCTACAAGGACGAGTTGCTGCGAGGACCGCCGCGCGCCCCGTACGAGCGGAACTAAGCGGCCGCGCCCGACGCACTCACGACCTTATCGTTTACTTTACCGTCAACGTTAGTTACATCACTAGTCCTTTATTTGTCTACGCCAGCGGTCGGGGAACTTTTTTATTTTTTATTTATTTATTTATTTACGTACACACAAAAAATAAGACATAGTACAGAGTAATAGGAGAATTATGTACAAAGGCACTGCTTATTTCTTTAAGAAATCTCTTCCAGCAGACCTGCGAGAGTATTATGAGAATAATAATTAAAAGTGGATGAGTGTGTGTAGAACAGCTAAAATAACAAATACAACATGAGAATTATAGTAATGCTCACTCTCACATACTCATTTTTTAATGATTACCCCAAAATATTTTTGTGCAAGTTGATATTACCCCATGGCGAAGAACAAAAAAAAACCCGCAATCGCTTCTTTTTTAGCATCTTTCCTATTATAGCCCCCATGATAATTTTGAAAAGAAAACAATAACTAAAAATTTAACGATTCTAAAGAAGTTTCACTTCAATATATTCTTTTTACTTACAAAAGTTTCATTTTTACCCCCTAAAATTTAATTTTACCCCCCATTTAAGATAATTTATCCCGGTTCCCCGACCGCTGGTCTACGCTATGGTTACGTGCTTAAAGCCTCATTGTGGGCGTCTACATTTGTGCTAATTTCTGTTTTAACTTTTTTTTTAAGCTAGGTCATTAATATATACGTCTTTATCGGTTCGGCAAGTTTCTGTAGCGATATTACATAATATTTATTATCTATGGCGAAGCATCAAACCGCCAAAAACGTGCTACAGGCAGTATTCGCGCTTCAAGTTCGTGTTATGTATAGAAAAAGATAGTTGCCGCATAAAACGCTCGCGTCAGTGAAGGACGGAGATAGTTGCCGAACAAGTTAAAAAATACGTTTGGATTGTTTGTTCAGAATAAATGAGTTGGTTCCCTAATCATATATGACAGACATTTTGGTTAGTTTTGGTTATTTAATTTATATTTCAGACTATCAATGCCATAAACACGTTGCTATAACCTATAATTAAATTAATATTGTTATTAATGCACCTATGTCTACTTGTTATTGTGATTTAGTTGTTTCGAATCTTGATCACGGGCTAGTTTCCGGAGGTCGAGCATGCGTCCTGCGTGCGGAGACGTAGGTGTCGGTTTCCCTCATCATTATTAACTGTATGTTTTAGTATTTATAGCATGAACGTTTAGATCAAATTAGAGCGTAAAACTTAAACATACGTAGCATGGTATTATAATACACGTTTTGTAATTATCTTTTTTAGAATAAGATGTATTGTTGCAGCTATTAATCCAATGTCTATTTTATGAATAAAAAAAAAACATTAAGGACTTACCATACATCAAAAGTTTTCCACCGGATTTCGTCATCACAGCTAAGTAATTTTGAATGTTGCCAAATATGTGGAAAAAAATGCGTTTAATGTTTAAACCGCCATTTTATTTCATACCATTTCACAAAAATACCAGTTTTGTTATGATTTCAAAGAATAGATAAAAATGAATGCTAAGCGTAAGGTAGAGAAATGTTAAATATGTAGCTAGTCAAATATTTCTTCATATTTTTCTACCTATTTCTATATATTCGGGCTATGTGCATCTTTATGTTGTATGACCATTTTTGCAGACTACAATAATTATTGCATTTTTACGTGTTTTAGCATATCCAGTTGCATATCTTTTGTAACGTTTTTATAAATTAGTCTCGCTGAAGAAATCAAAAGGTTTTCCGTCAACACAAATTTGCACATACTCGTAATTTAATCTTCGACTATATAAAGTGCATATTACAAAGTCTTCTATCTTCTTGGAAATGTTTAACATACCTATTAGAATCAAACTCGTTTATAAGATAAGACTTGATTACCTTATACTAATACGGCATTCTTGGGAATGATGCTGTAATATTAGTAAATCGCAAATTTACTATATTTATATTATTCTTTGAAATATATTGTGGATTTAATAAAAAATAATGGTTACTGTCATTGGCATTTTTAATCGTTTTACCTTCATTTAACCTGAAATGTGGCAGGCGCATATGTCGAGCCAACATAATTTCAAGATAATTTAGCGTTACATATACAAATTCGAAACCATATTCTGAATGTCGGTTTATCGGGAAATGACATCTATGTGCTTAGTGCGAGTTTTTTAACGTTCTCGATAGCGTAAAAGTTAGCTCATATTTGTATGGATTGGAATCGTTTGCCTACGTTAGCCGCTAGGGGCGCTGTTCCAACTGCGTACAAAATTGGGTTAACTTTTACGCTATCGAGAACGTTAAAAAACTCGCACTAAGCACACTGCTCGATAGAGGACATTCCCTTGCAGTCGTTTGTCATAATAATTATGATCAACCTTAAATACGAGTATTATATGTCAACAAAGAACATAGCTTTAAATAACAAAACGTATCCAGTAGTAAAGACATTTTATTTTTCTCCAGAAACAGTTTTCGGAATATTTAAATAAATGGTTTTTGGTAAATACTGAAATGGTAGAAAAACGTTATAAGTTTTATACAGGTGAATTCAGAATTTCATGAACAGCCGTCTGGTGTAGTGGTAAGTGACATGGTCACTACACAAGGGGGTCGCGGGTTCGAATCCCGCCAAGGGAAGATATTTGTATGATAAATATAAATGTATTTTCCAGGGTTATGGATGTATATTAAATATATGTAAAAAAAAAAAAAAACAAAAAAAAAAATTAACACCACATTCACTTTTTACTGAACTTCATACTTGACGAAAACATGTAAATGTATTATTGTATAGCAGCTGTCCACGCGGATGCATGGCTCACTCAAGTAGGAGAGAGACAGATGTCGAACGCTGCCGAACGCGGAGGTTGATTGTGCCTCTTTGTTGCTCGTTGCGCGCTCTCGCTTGCACTTCAAGCCTCAAATGGAACGCCTCTATGAGTCATGTTTTTTTCGTGCGTGCAGCCGGCTCCATCGAATTATAAGACGTTGTCACGTCATCAAAACTTTTCCTATAATATATAACTGATTATGTATTTTTAAGTTTACTATCCAATTATATCCGTAACATCATCTACTCAGTGTGCTTAGTGTTAGTTTTTAACGTTCTCGATAGCGTAAAAGTAAACTTAAATTTGTATGCAGTTGGAACAGCGCCCCTAGCGGTAAACGTAGGCAAACGTTCCAGTTCAATACAAATTTGAGGTAGTTAACTTTTACGCGATCGAGAACGTTAACTTATACTAAGCACACGGAGTAGATGATGATGTTAAGTCGTAGTTTTGTTTTAACCTGCCCAATTAAGTAGCTTCGAAGGGCTATTCTGATTTCATTTAACGGGTAGGTGAGCTTACGGGGCTCAACCTGAGACTTTTGGTACCATTTGCGCTAGTTCGAATCAGTGCTTCGCTGAATCTACCACGCTATCGGAATTTAAATGTATAAATCTATGATCGGAACCATTTTGCAAAGCCGGTGAAAAATTCAGTGCGTAGCGTGTTCTCCTAGTGATGGGAACATTGAAACTATTGCTCACTTTGGTAATGGAATATATTTGCAACATACGATACATAACAGGGACAAATAGTATTTTCATAAATAGAGATTCCGAACGACGCGAAATATCGAATTCAAAATTATTATTTATCTGTAATCCCTAGACGTTTATTTAAATTTTAAACATAATACAGATCAAGCAGGATTCAAAACAATTACACATCATGTCATTCATCTCTCATCATCATCATCTTTTATTAAAATCCACATTAATGACACTCAATTAATAGATATTATTGTTATAGTGCTTATCCATATTCACTGACAACTTAAGGTTTGGACTCATGTTATGTATTATGTTATTATGTATAATATTTTGTTTTATTAATGACAAATTTTGGTGTAAAGACACCCCTACCGTTGTGAGTTTCTATTTTATTTAATGACAACCCTAAACACATTAGTGCTACTAAAATAAAAAAACTGGACTACTGAACTGTTTTGTGTATTTTTATGGATATTATATGTAATAAAAAAGAAAGTATTTAAATAGTGAAATTGCGTCAGATATACAATTGCTCATCATCACATTTCACTTAATCAGCCTTTATGCTAATGGAATCTTAATTTTTATTAAAACAATCAAAAAATTAAGTGTGTATTCCCCTAGGTATTATTTAAATGGTATAAATTTAATACAGACTAGATAATGGAGGAAAAGCATTTTGTTTACTGACAACCACTTTCTTGTGTTGGTATGAGATGTATCCTTTGATTTTTCCATCATATATGAGATTTGCAACAATACATTGAGTTTCATCTGAATCAACATCTTCTTGTCCCATTATTTGTAGTGCTGCCTCGAAGCTAGCTATGTCTATCTGATGTGAATTCTCCGCTAAATATACTTTCCTAAACAAATTTCTGTATGCTGTAATCTTTAATTTTTCTACGATCAAATAAATACCAGCCGTTATGAAGAACTTTTCATGTTCCTCCATAACCATATCGATACCACGCAAATCTCCATTTTTCACAGCTGATATTAGATCCCAGAATTGTAGCAAATCATATTTCTCTAGTAAATATTTTGCGGGCATGAAACCCAACAGCATTTTCACAGGAACTAAATAAGTTAGAATGAGTCTTTTATTTCGTATGCTTCTTCTGTGACAATTTTCAAAAGCAAATGATAAGTATTCATCAGCTAGACGATAGTCTGAGTCAAACATGGCTTTACGGCCCACAAAATATCTGTACGTAATTTGTTGGGCCAGTGGGAATTGGTCTTTGAACGGTGAAGAATCAATGGCTCTAATCAATGGTTTGCAAAGGTGGAGCTTGTTTATCCTGAAATATACTTTAAGAAGTTGGTTTACAAGACACAACATGCCTATCTTTTTGGTATCCACATCTGAAGCTCTGTTGTCAGCAGCACAGACTCTGAAGCAAGCTAATAAGCTCTCTGCTGCTTTTTCCATAATTTTACTGCCATTTTGAGCTGAAATATTGACAAATGAATTTAATTGTACAGAATACAGATTATTTAACAAAATATTAACTAAGACAAAACTCATGCAAGTATTTGAGATAATTTCATCGTCTTTTCGACACTGTTCCACCATAACAGAGTTGAATCCTACCACCTGTGAATATACTGAGCACTTGGGCTTGTGACTCTTCAAACAAAATTAAGGAGACAAATCTTCAGTGGAAGGGAACTTGCACTTATACAGCCACCAGATGATGAGTGTTTACTAGAGTCTGTAGATGTTACTTTGTGAAGTCTGCCTTAAGTGATAAAGTTTAAGGCTGAATTGTATAGTGTAATTGCTGCACCATTCTTCAAGCTAGAATACATGCTTGCTTTACTACAGATACAGGCAGTTTGGTAATAACTAGTTGTGCAAACTTATAACACAACCGACCACCATAAATACTATAAGATCTCATTTCTATGACACATTGTTTTCCTTGGCATTTGAAGATTTCAATACGAGTACTCCAGGCATCTTATTCTTAATGCCCTAATCACTTGATACTATTACCATCTTATCTTAGCTCTTGAATGATGTATGCAAATTCATACTTACGGCTAGATGCCTCTGCTTTCTGTGCAACAAGTCTAAGATCTAAACATGCAGCATACATAACCGGAAGGCACCAGTTCTCTTCTTTCTGTCCCTGTAATAGCTTTACGACAGAGGCCACACATATACTCTGATGATCGTATGCCTCAATGTAATCACTTGCATATAATGCCTGGAATGCAAAGCATTTTTTTTTATTGCTTAGATCGGTGGATGAGCTCACAGCCCACCTGGTGTTAAGTGGTTACTGGAGCCCATAGATATCTACAACGTAAATGCGCCACCCATATTGAAATATAAGTTCTAAGGTCTCAGTCTCTAACCGAAATGCATTACTGCTTCTGACTACTACTGACTCAAGAGGTCTTGCCACCAGTAAAAGTATTTGACGAGAAGCTAATAAAACGATATATTTAAAATACACTTAACAGGTAATATTCACACTACAATTATTGGCTGTAGTAACGGCCAGATTAATAATGGTACATTTGCTATTTTTTAATCTATATTTATCAATTTAAAACCAGAATTAAATTCATATATCTCACCTTAAGACATGATAAGTGTGCAATTACAAGTTCATCTAATGGAGCAACACAATTTCCTGTGACAAGGGTTGCAATATCGCTCGATAATAGATTCCTATTGTAGACATGTTCATCTCTTAGAGACAACAGTCTAGACAATATGTTACCTTGTCCCGTTCTGTACATACGTTCCACACATTGTATGTATTGATTAAGAGTGCCAGTTATCATCGACATTGTGGTTAGGTATTACTGGATTTTTAACTTTGAATGACTAATTTTAATATACAAAATTACAAGAATGTAGTTTTTCCTATAATTTCGTCAATCGACATTTCATGATTGATATTTATCAAAGAATCAGAGTTTATTAGCGCAAAATCGGTCTCATGAAAACATTGAAATTTTGTTTTCTATAAGTTTTTCATTCCTTGGATAGGCACACGGAAAGAAGTCTATACCGCTAAAGCATTTGGAAGGCCAAGACTATACTTATTATGTGAAATGGAATGTAATTAAGTGAAATCAAATGTTTATTTATTTTTTTAGATGAAGTGAATTATAACAGCGGCAACCATACTTTTTTTTTTTGTTTGAGACACAAATTGCAGGCATCATAGATTATACACTTAATATATTCGAGATAGATGCGCAACTCTCATTTTTATTTTTGCTTTAGTTAAAGCCCGGTCCAGCAGGCGTCGCTACGGTCGATTATTAGTCTCCCTACCCCCCACCAGGTGGCTTTTTTAGTAATTTTAATATTTTTAATAACTCTCTTTATGAAAAAATCTTATCGTTTAGAATCGCTGAAATTCCCGGTAGTACTTATGAGATATTAAGGAATGTTTGATTGTGTTCAGCATTCTAATCGATAAGATCTTTTCATACAGAGAGAAAACAGTTTTTTAAAATAAAAAGCTGTAATTCTCTGTAAGCTATTTAATTTCCCTATATTACAAACAATTTTCTGTTAAAAGATTGTATGAACGTACAATTGTATAAAATTTCGAATAACAATAACTCCTCTAGAATAATCCTACTAGCGTACACATTAAATCGAAAGTTATCTAAAAGTTAATTAAGTCTAGATAATCAAATCATTCAATGTCACTTAAGTCATTTGTGCGAAATATAAACATGTCAGCTTTCCATTACAAACATAGTAGACAATTTGAATTAAATTTAATAAATTTGTTTCTTAACTATAGCAGTTCTTGCTTAAAGTTGATCGTGACAGATCATGACCTTGTATGAAAATATTACATCTATAAACACTACCTATGCTTCGTCATACAATAATTGTCATTTA